CCCCCTCCTCTCCCCTCCCCTCAACCACCATCCTCTCCTGCGCCCTCCCTTCCTCTCCCACCCTCTCCTCCACCCTCCCTTCCACCCCTCCCCTCCCCTCCAACTCCCACCCCTTTACCTCTCCATCCACTTCCTCTCTGGCTTCTGTCCTGTTGCCTTCTGGCCTCTTTTCCCACCCTCCCCTCCCCACATGGTGACCTAGGCAGACCCAGTGGGGTGGGTAGTGAAATGGTCACAGGGCACGTCTGTGGGCACAGTTCTGGGACCCATCAGTCCTGAGGCAGGCAACACTCATCTCTCTCTCCCCTTGTACTTATAGCCTCCAGAGGTGAAGCCCCTAATGGAGCCTATGGGTACCCTTACATGCCCAGCGGGGCCTATGTCTTTCCCCCGCCAGTCGCCAATGGAATGTACCCCTGCCCTCCTGGCTACCCCTACCCACCGCCCCCACCTGGTGAGTGTGTCCTTTGCTGCCCAGCCTCTGCCTCCCCACCCGCCCACTGACCACACCTTCAGGTTGCAGAGGGGAGATGTGCCCTTTCACCTACCTTAGACCCAGCAGACACTGGAGAGTTTAGAGGGCACCCCAAGGAACTGGACTGGCCACTCCCAGGAGTAGCCTTGTGAGGGAAGCAAGCGGGGCTGCTCACTGTCTCTCTCACTCTCTTCCCAAGCAGAGTTCTATCCGGGACCACCCATGATGGATGGAGCCATGGGATATGTACAGCCCCCACCGCCACCCTATCCTGGGCCCATGGAGCCTCCAGTCAGTGGCCCCAGTGCCCCCTCCACTCCCGCAGGTGAGGCCTGTAGGCTGCTTGCCGTCCTTCAGGACCAGCAGTCTCTCCTCAGGGGTCTTACAGAGAACCCCACAGGATGGCTGGAGCCTGCGGAGAGAGAGCCTCGAATAATGAAGGGGTTCTGGCTCACACACCACCTGGTGGCGAAAAGCTGTATTCCAAGGGCTGGGTGGGGTTCAATGAGTCCTTGCCTGTCATGAGCTAGGCCTGTGTTTTGTGTGCTGCGTCACAGAACATGAAAAACAGTCTGGAGGTGAGGTGAGGTGAGGTGAGGTTGGCCTTCAACCAGCAGTGACCTTGGGCTGGGAAGGGTCACCCTGTTTGCCTCAGTGTTCTCTTCTACAGATGGTCACCAGGACCACCTGACAGACTCATGCCAAGGGCACGTAAAGGGACCGTAAAGGACAGTGCCAGCACATGGCAGGTGCTTAGGAAAGTCACGGAAGCCTTTGGTGGTCTGAGTCACCAGTGCCAGCTGCCCTGAACTCAGGCGAGGCAGGGGGATTGTCGCTCATTGCCATTCCTCCCTGTGTTTGTTTTCACAGCTGAGGCTAAGGCTGCCGAAGCAGCTGCCAGCGCCTATTACAACCCAGGCAACCCACACAACGTCTACATGCCCACGGTGAGTGGGTGAGACCTTCTGCCCTCTCTGTCCCGCAGCCTGGGAGCTTGCTGTAAAAGAGACCACAGTTCATTCTGCGATTTCTCACGTGATCTTTGTTTCTTCCTCTAGAGCCAGCCTCCGCCGCCACCCTACTACCCCCCAGAGGACAAGAAGACCCAGTAGACTATGCCCACTTCCCTGCCTCTCGGACGACCCCTTCCTGGGCCTCCCATCGAGCTGCATCTGGGACTTTGGGAGGCCAGGGAGGACCCTGATCTTCCCCAGTCCTGATTATAAACAGTTACCAGGAACCAGCCCTGATGGAAGGCTGGGGCTCCTGGCCTCTGCGAGCGCCTCCCAGCTTCCCACACTAGCTCAGCCCTTGGCGCTGCTCCATCTAGCTTCCTTCTCACCATTTCTGGGGCTCTCGGGAGCATGGGTGACTCCTTGTTCCCCACTGCAGTAGCTCCTTCCCACAGAGGGACTCTTTGGCCACTCCTCCACCACAGTCCAGCCCCCTCAGCCTGAATCTTGGGCTTATCAGAGCAGCCTTAGGGTCTCCCCCTTAGACCCTGCCAGGCTGTGTTCACATTCCTTCCCCCTGGTATGCGCCTGACCCTGGAAGGTCACTGTCCCAGTGTGTGATCAGTCCATGTTCCCTTTGGCCAGGCTCTGGCCTCAGTCACAGCCTGCCACACCTGTCCTGTCCTTGTCCATTCTGTTGCCCCTGTCTTTGGGTATTTCACCTGAGCCTCCAGTAGTTGGTGGCATCAGAAGCAAAGGCATGGCAGAGGAGGAAGTCCCTCTGGTGGAGTTTCTGGGAATTAGTTCCGCTTTCTCCTGACCCTTTGCCAGGGGCCTCTCCACAGGAATGCTGGAGAATACATGTCTGTCCGATGAGGCCATTTGGTCTGGGAAGGAGCACCTCCAACCATGGGACCTGACACCTGCCATCTGCCCCTGTGTGAGCTTCACGCCCCCTGGATGTACTAAGATTTGCTCTTGTTCCTGGTCTGGTTGCAAAATGAGGAGATGGTTATTTAAAGAGAATTCCCTATTTATTTGACACAGAAAAATCCAGTTAATATATTAATGTGAAATAAACCCTGTTTGCACCTTGATTTGTTTGCTACAACTGTGAAATATAGTAAAATGAAGTAACTGGACACTGGCTCTGTGTGGTGACCAGGGCGAGGACTTCCGGGAGGAGGAGCTGCTGGGAGGAGGGGCTGCTGGGAGGTGGGGCTAGAGATCTGTTTCCTGTCAGTACCGGTGCATTTGGTTCCCAGCCTTCTTACAGAGGCCTCTGTATCTGCCTGGGGTGGTTCGTAAGGTCACCCACTGCCAGCTGGGGGCAGGACAAGGCCTGTATCCCATCTGAACTCCTGATCCCCTACCGAGCACAGGCTGGAAAGCCAGCCCAGGCCTGCCAGGACTCTGGTGGGGGAGTGTGGCTGGGCTGGTTACTGCCCCCAGACCCAGGGGAAGAAGAGGGTGGAAGAAAGCTAAGCCAGGCCTGCACACCACTCACTGTCAAGAAACAGAGATCCCCGTTCTGAAGGGTTCTCTCCTGACCAAAACGCTCCCCAGACTGCGCAAGGCCTTGCCGCCCACCCCCAGGGGCTCTCGGGGCTAGGGAAGGAGTACCCTCCTGACCATCAGTCGTGGGCCTGAGCTTCGCCTCCTTCTGTCCCGGCTAACACCAAGTAGCCCCATCCCACCCCTGGAATGTCACCTGTGGGGTGGAGCCGGCTGGACAGCTGACTGCTGGGCAAGGAAATGCTTCTCAGGAGTCCCTGCCCTGAGTCTGCCCCACCCTAACCCAGATCTGGGACCCATTCAGAAAACTTTGGGCTGAGAACACCACAGGTCTAGGTCAGCTTCCTTGGCCCAGGCATTGTTGAGGCAGGCTGCCATATAGCCTGGCCTTACCACCCTCGCCAAGAGCTCTGGACTCTTCCCCAGCGCCTCGATGGGACGGTGGGTGGGGCTTACCCCGCCCACTCGGTCCACTTCTGCTCCTGGCTGGGGAGGATCCTGCCAGGATTGAGGCTGAAGGAAGGTGCAGGGAGCCTGGGAGAAGGCCCTCCAAGGCAGTGACACCCTGGCCCTTCGATCCCTCCACCCTCCCCTAGCAGAGGGTGGTACCTTGGGGCTCTTTGCATCATCCTGCGGCTTCGCTGATTTCACCCGGCAGCTAAGGGGGTGGCAGAGGGAAGGGCAGAGTCAGCCACCATGGCGACACACCTCTCCCACCCCCAGCGGCGCCCTCCACTCTTGCGCCAGGCCATCAAGATAAGGCGCCGCAGGGCCAGAGACCTGCAGGATCCACCACCCCAAACCACCCATGAGGTAGGAGTGATATGAAGGGCCAAGAACCAGCCTAGGGGGTGGCGCTGCGGTCTCGAGGCCTGGATGTGGGAGGTTGCCTGCCCCCACCCACCTGCCCTCGATGGCCCTGGGCATAGCCTTGTGGTGGTTGGACAGAGAGGTCCACCATGTGTTCTCTGAGCCGCGGTGGGCTTTCCTAGTCTCTTCCCTTTGGTGGGCCTGTCCCTCCGACCCTGCTCTCTGAAGGCATCCGCCCCCTGAAGGAATATCTCCAATGACAGTGGGCTGCCTAGGGACCCCTCTGAGCTACCCCAGACCTGCCTGGCATTCCCCCCTACTCACCCTCCCCTGCTCTTAGGCCTCACTTCCGCAGCTGGGGTGAGGAGCCGGTAGCCTCCTGATAAGCACCACTGTTTCCTCTGGGGAAGGAAGGGGGGGCAGGTGCCAGAGAGCCCACTGCTGGGCCATCTGAACGCCCATGGACCTCAGGCATGGCAGGCCAGGGGATGAGCAAAATGACCCAGGGGTGAGCCCTTCGGGGAGCCTTGTGTTGGAACAAGTGAGGGGACTCGGTGGGCCTAGAGGCCCGAGAGGCTGAGGTGCTATGGTCCCTCTGTCTCAGGCCTGGGTCGTCCTGCCTGGCTAGACGAGCTTCTGAGAACAGCTTGTCTTTTCACCTTGCTCCTAGGTCCAGGTCCAGTCCCACCATTTTTCCTCAGAAGAGGTAAGAGGTGGAGTTTGGAGAGTGTGGGGGATGTGGGAAGCAGCCCTACATCCTCTCTGAGGGAGGCCCCTCAGGCCCCAGAGGCAGACGCGGCTCTCACAACCGCGTAGAGAGCATTCTGAGGTTCAGCCTTCACTGCACTGGTGCCTCTTTGTCCCTTTCTGGGCCCGAGATCTGGGCGTCAGGGAGGGCTGCTGGGTGATGACAGGGTTCCTGAGGTGACCCTGCTGTGTCTCAGCGGGACCTGCTGTATGAGGAAGCCCTCTACACTGTCCTGCACCGCCTGGGTCAGCCAGAGCCCAACCACGTGAAGGAGGACTCAGAACTGCTACGCTACCTGCAGGAGGTAAAGCCAGCTCCCATCTTCCTACCTATCTTCCTACAACCAAGGCTCAACCCTCCCCTCCCACCAGGCTACCTTATCTTGTGTCCCTAGCCTCCCACACCTCTGCCCTCTTCAGGCCTTCCAGGTGCATCCCGAGGAGCACCAACAGATGCTGCAGCGTGTTGGGGGGCTCGAGGTAACCTGGGCCAGGGCACCCTGGGCAAGGAGGGGGCGTGAAAAGCCGGGCCTCTCAGCGACTCAGGCAGCGCCCACTCCCATCCTTCCAGAAACCAATATTTTGTCTGAAGGCAACAGTGAAACAGGCCAAAGGCATTCTGGGCAAGGATGTCAGTGGTAAGTGTTTGGGGGAGCCCCGGGACCCCATCAGTCTCGCCTTGAACTCCTCACCAGAGAGCCCATTCACCAAACACCCCAGCTGCTAGACTCCTGTGGTTTTTTTTTTTTTTTTTAAAAAAGCCTACAGCACCCGGTATTCCCAGGCGGTCTCCCATCCAAGTACTAACCAGGCCCGACCCTGCTTAGCTTCCGAGATCGGGCGCGTTCAGGGTGGTATGGCCGTAGACTAGACTCCTGTGTTTAGATGCCAAGTTTAGAGCTTTGTCCAGCGTTCCCAGGAGGAGGCTGGGCCCCAGGAGCTGATGGAATTCAAGGAAAACCTGGCTGACTTCCTGGAGTCTTGTCCCTCACTCCTTGCCAGGGTTCAGTGACCCCTACTGCCTGCTGGGCATCATCGAGCAGGGAGCTATTGTGCCCGAGGGCAGCCCGGCGTCTCGCCGTCGACAGAAGGCCGTAGTGAAACACACCATCCCTGAAGAGCAGACACACCGCACCCAAGTCAAAAGCCAGACGCTTAATCCTGTTTGGGAGGAAACCTTTATCTTGTACGTGGTCCCATTCCAGCCTCTATTCGCTGCTCCCATCCCGGTCTCCTCGGGGGTGGAGGTTTTCCAGCCAATGAGATCAGTGATCTTCCTGGATCAAGAGAATGAGCTCAGCCCTCGGTCCTCAAGTAGAGCTGGAGGGAGACGGGGCTAGATGGCACAGATCCGTGACGTGAATGCCAATCATGAACCTGCTGATGTAATGTCGCACACCTGAAATGCTAGCACTCCAGAGAATAAGACAGGAAGTTGGAGAGATCAAGGCTAACCTGGGCTACATGGCAAGGCCCTGCCAAATGACTGTAAAGCAGGCACAGTTGGGTATCTCTGGCTGGTTGGTGGCCAGGGGACCTTCCAGCCTATTCTTGAAGAAGGCAGTAAAGTGTTTGAGGTGGGGTGGGTGGTATGGCGCAATCTTTAATCCCAGCACTTAGGAGGTAGAGGTAGACAGCTCTCTGAGTTTGAGGCCAGCCTGGTCTACATAGTGAGTCCCAGGCCAGCCAGGACTGCATAAAAAGATCCTGTACCCAACGAAAAATGAAAAAGGGAGAGAACTAGGCAGGAAGGGGTTATAACTCCACACAGTGGGTGATATTGGGGACAGCAGGTTCTGGGCTTGTGGCCTGGGCCAACATGCATGTACATGGGGTGTCCTACCCTGCTAAGGTCCTTAAACATACGTGTTCTTTTCTCCCTAGGGAGTTTGAGGACATAACCAACGCAAGCTTCCACCTGGACATGTGGTGAGTGGCCCTGCCCTGTCCCGGGGGATGAGAACAAAAAGAGGCAGTGGGTTGCAGGGACAATGTGTCAAAGTTTCTTTACTGATGAGGTCATGGACCCCTTCCCTACCTCTTGCTCTACCTTCTGGCCAACAGGGACCTGGATACTGTGGAATCCGTGAGACAAAAACTTGGGGAGCTCACGGACCTGCATGGGCTCCGAAGGTGGGTGTTGCAGACTCAGGGAGGAATAGACTCACAGACACCCTGCCTCCTGAAAGACAGGCTCTGCCTTTGAGTGCCCAGGTGGCTGACCTTTCACCTGCCTAAAACAGGATCTTTAAGGAAGCTCGGAAGGATAAAGGCCAGGATGACTTTCTGGGGAACGTGGTCCTGAGGCTGCAGGTACGGGCCGGGGAGAAGGGCCAGGAGAGAGGCGAGGGCTGGCAGGGTGAAGGACTTCAGGTTTGACCCAATCTGAGCCTGGGGGCCGCCCCAACTGCCTCCCTGCTCTCGCCTCGGCTCTGTGCGGGGTTCTGAGGCTCGTCACTGTTGTCTTTCCTGCTAGGACCTGCACTGCCGAGAGGACCAGTGGTACCCACTAGAGCCCTGCACAGAGACCTACCCAGACCGCGGCCAGTGTCACCTGCAGTTCCAATTCATTCACAAGCGGGTAGGTCCGGGGCCTGGGCCAGCAGCTGTGTCTTCCTCTGTCGGTAACCCTCCTGATGTGGGGAGGGCTGGCTGTGTCCGGCATGGGGTTCTCTGCTCATAGCCCTGTTGAACCTACTGCAGAGAGCCACGGCGGCCAGCCGCTCCCAGCCCAGCTACACAGTGCACTTCCACCTCCTGCAGCAGCTGGTGTCCTACGAAGTCACCCAGCACCAGGTATGGCTGTCTGCCAGAGCTGAATCCCCCCCAGAGCCACCTGCCTGGTCCCGATGTGCCTCTACGATTTCCCTTAGGCCGGCAGCGCCTCCTGGGACGCATCGCTGAGTCCCCAGGGTGCCACCATCCTCTTTCTCCATGCCACTCAGAAGGACCTGTCGGACTTCCACCAGTCCATGGCGTGAGTACACAGCCCTGCTCAGAACCCCTAGGGGACCTTCTCTGCCCTGCCCACTAACCAACAGGCTCGCACCTCAAAAAACAGCCCTCAGGA